GAGAGCACGAGTAGGGTGCGGAGGTGGAGGGGGTTGAACTACTCTCCCCTCGCTGCTCTTTGGGGGCCGAGGGAACTCCGAGCTGGGGGAGCTGAACCAGGGATCTTGAAACCTGTGGACTGGGGCAATGCCCGGACCAAAATAGCTTCTGCCTGTGCAGGGAGGGGGGGCCTTCCAGTGCTGCCGGGGGAACATTTCTGCTTGAATGGGCCAGCTGAGATAAAGCCAGGCTAATGCTTTGCTACCCAGAGTCATTTCAGTGGGGTTTTAAACAGATACAGCTGTCTTTTGAGATGTTTAAAAAATAATAATTAAAAAGCCATCTCCTCCCTGACTGCAGTATCTCTCTCTTCATTGATTTGCTTTTCAGAGGGGGCCCAGATGGAGGGTGCAGGAAGTGCTGACCAGGCCTGTTGGCTCTGGGCACCCGCCTGACTCTGTTAGAGATGTCACAGTGCCATTTTTTTTTTTCTGCCAGACTGGCACGTCTTGGCGTTCCAATCCTTGGGTTGCTTGGAGAAATTAACGGCTTCTGTCACTGCGCTGTCTTGGTCTCCTGTAACCATGCTGTTTTTGCAGAGAGCGTGTTTTTTGTTGTTCTTGCAGAGTTCTGGGAATAAATTGCCGGCTCTATGCTCAGAAAAGACACTGGCTATGACCGGCCACAGTGCAGCCTGTATTCTCAGAAAATGTATTCAGGAGGGATGATGTCAGCTGCCTCATCACTGGCCGGTCTCTGGCCAGCCTATTCCCTTGGCCTTTGAGCTTACATCATAAGAAATTTGTGGTTCTTCCAGCCCCATTCTGTGTGGGAAGATGTGACTTTTGCTACTATCGGAATTTTTGGAACTCAACTCTGCTCGCCCTGTCCTAGGGCCCTTTCAAGTAGAGCTGTCCAGCAGACGCAACAGGACAGCTTTGCTTACAAGTGGCGCAGCTCAGAGCTCGAATCGGGGTGTTGGCATCAGGCTTAGGCTCAGATCTCAGATCCACTTCTTCCTAGCTTAGTGACTTAGGACAAGGGAGGTGGCCTCTCTGAGCCTCAGTCTCCTCTCCTTTAACCTTCGGGCTGTCATGTGGATTTCATTGATTTTCATCAAGCACTTGGCGGAGGGCCCTCACGTTCTAATCCCTGGGTAGATAGGACTAATTGTAACAATAAGTGAGTGAGATAAATGGCAAAAAGCACAGGGCTCAGGGCCTGCCAACCTGAGTTCAAATTCCAGGTCGGACCCTTTGAAGCTCTGTTGGGCAGGTTGTTTAACGGCTGAGCCTTGGTTTCCTCATTGTGGGGATTACACAGGATGATGGCAGTTAAACCAGAAAGCCCAATGCTTAGCACACAGTAGGACTTCAATAATTGTTAGTTTCCTTCTCTCTTTCCTTTCCTTAATTATCTTTTAGCATTCATTTTCTTTCACCTTCTTCCTCACCTACCTAGGTTGGTTCAAGATCTTCTTGGATGGGTTTTCCATCCTTAGCTTTAGGATTTTGAACACCACCTGGGCTATTTGGATCCCTTTTTCTTGTTTATTGTTTGCCAGCAATAAACAAGGGTGTGGACTGTGGTGTGATTACAGAGCAGCAGACGCAGAGCTTGAGGGTGGCTGACTTTGAAAAAAAAAAAAAATCAACCTCTATGGGCTCAAGCCTGACTTCCTTGGAGAAAAATCACAGCAGTGTTTAGGAGGCTTGAGGTCCCTCTGTTTAAATTGTTCTGAGATGTACCAAAAAACAGTGCCTGGGGCCAGAGGCAGGATGCAAGCTTCTCTTAGATAAATAAAAAATGGTAAATGCATATGGGTTTTTATTAGCAAGGACGGTGATGTCTTCTTTCAGGTTGCAATACAATTTTATTTTTTAAGAGAACATACATACTCGGATACTAGACAAAAAGCTCTTTCAACTAGAATTGAGGGCAAGGCTGTGTCTTCTCAACTGCTGTCGGCTACTGCCCCCTCCCCACCCCATATCCTCCCCCTGCAACCTAGCCCAGGGCCTGGAGCGAGGTAGGTGCTGCATGAAGGCTTGTTGAACTCAAGAATCATGGGGTGGTGGGAGGAACACAGGTACCAAGGCAGAAGGCTGAGCTCAGAATCTTGGATCCACCTTTTCCTAACCCCAAGCTACTTAAGGCATGTCATGTCGTGGAGCCCCTGTTCCTTCTCCCTCCAGCTGATCTCCCAGGATCCTTGGGAGAACTAAATGAGAAAGAAGTGGCGTCATGAGTGCCTACATCCTTTGCCTCATTCATTTCACCTGTTTTATCCAATGCCCGCTGTGTGCCAGGCTCTCTGTTAGGCATCACGGTGAACAAAACAGATGTGGCCCTTGCCTGTGTGGAGCTTTGTGGATAATGGGGGCATGCAAAGAGAGGAAGCTAGTAAATGAGTAAGTAAAGTTGATAATTTCCGATGGCGATTATCCCAGGCTAATGGGATAACGAGGGACTGGGAAGGTGGCAGGGCCTCTGAGGGATGACATTTGAGCTTGAGACCTGAGTGACGAGACTGAGCCAGATGTGGGAAGAACCAGAGGAAGAACGTGCAAAAGGAACCACATGGGGAAAGGTCCTGAGACAGAAATGAGCTCGACGTGTTTGAGGAACAGACAGAAAGGTCTGCGTCGGGGGAAGGGAAGGGAAAGACTGCTGTGAGGGGTGAGTGGGGCTCTGACCACGTAGAGCCTTTGACCTTGGTCAGGAGGTAGACTTGTATCCTACGTGGGCCTCTGTTTACCTCTTGTGCTCCCCAGATGTGTTTGTTCTGTTTGTTCTGAAGCATTGGGCTCCCTCAGCAGGGCAGTGGGGAGGAGAAGGTGGCCCCTCTGTGTCCCTAGTTCTCCTGCCCGTCTCACCCCTCACCTCCAGTTGAGACCCCTGGGAGTCTCCGAAAATCTGTGGAGGAGCCAGACGAGTGGCCCATGGAGACGGGGATGATTTTATTGACCTTATGATGATCGCCAGGCTTGTTGGCCTTTAGGGCTTCCTGAGCTGAACTCAGATCTGCTAAAGGACTCCACGTGCCCATCCCGTCCCACGGCAGCTTCCTTCTGGGTCCCTCGCCGTCTCCCACAGCCAGCAGGAGCCTCCTTCACTTGGACAGCAGATGTTTATGAAGCTCTGTGCTTAGGTTACCTCACTGAGTAATTCGGTCACGATTCTGGCACCCATGGAGCTTGTGGTCGGGAAAGGCAGGACAGGCGAGTGTGAACATGCACATCCCACCCACTTGGAGATAGTTGCCCCCCTCGGATCTGACTGTCTTGAGGATGCTTGGCATCTTGGAGGGCAGAGCACCTGCAGGCTCCAGGAATGGCTGCTTGTGTGTATCAAGGGCTTGCTTCGAGCCGGCACTCTGCGAAGAGCTTTATGTACTGATTGCATATAATCCTTCCACCAACTCTGGACTGTAGGTACCATTATTAACCTCCTTTTTCAGGTGAGAAAACTGAGGCCCAGAGAGGTTGAGGAATTTGCCCAAGTAACCTAGAGCAGTAGACCCAGGATTCACACCAGGCGGTCTGGCTCGGAGTCTCTGTAACCCGTGTGCTGTGTTGCCTGCCCTGGCCCTGGCAGTATGCCTCGATGAATCTACACGTGCTCCCAGCATTGTGGGCACCAAGAATATTGCTGGATCGGTACATGTTCTGTAACAAGTGGCCAAGCAGGCAGCAAGAGTGTATAAATGCTGTGTCCCAGCTCAGAACGTCCTGTTCTCCCAGCGAGACCGTGAGTCAAGGGGAATGCAGCTCTCAGAGGTGGATAAGAGCCCTCCCTGGGGGTCAGCAGCCAGCGGGGTCTCTCTCTCTTTTTTT